AAGCTCGTAGAACCCACCCAGCTGTGGCCCCCTCGTATCATGTATGGCATCTCAGATGCCTTTGTTCACCTCACCGCTGGCAAGGGCTCCGCCGCGCCTGCATTGGCATCTGGCGCATCCCCAGCGATACACGTGCGACACCTGCTTGAACAGCGTGGCCGGTGTGGCTGCGAAGAGTCCCCCTTCGTGCGCTTCGCATAGATACCTATCCCCTCAACCGATTGCATCGTTGGTGATATCTTGTATAGTGTCCTGGTTCAGGTACTTACCCAGATATAATCCACCAAGACGAGCTCAAGACGAGTCCTGACCGGGCTTGACCGTCTCGTGAAGAGCCAGAAGAACAACGCGGCTGGCGTTTCGGCATGCCACCAGAGTCCTTTCCACCATTCTGTTGTAAAGCATCGCATCCGCCCCCGGCAACTGCCCCTTGAACCAGATGTTCGTTACCTCATCCCGCGTGGGGAGGTACGCAACACAGCAAGCCGCGAAGATCTTTTCGTAATCCGCAACAGCCGGATCGATTACGATAGTCGGCGTGCTATTCCCCTTCGTGGCTACCAGTGCTGCAACACCACCCGCCACTGTATCGACGCAGTCAATGCCGGCGTCGGCAATGGCCGCTGAAGCGACCGTGATGCAACCGCTCAGGACATTCATCATATCCCAGCTCTCGTCCTGCTGCTGTTCGGACGAGTTACGGTCCAAGTCCCCCTCAATAATGGTGACGATAATGTCCACGCCGCTCTTGGGCCATCGGTCCGCGATGATGGCGCCGCGGAGAGCGGTCTCCAGATGTACGCCAAGATCCCTCTCGCTGGCGTCGCGCAGATAGCCTCGTCGGTGCTTCGTCGCGAAGGGCGCATACTTGACGTGTGTCGAAAGGATGATGTGAGGAGAGAAGGGGGCGGATCGTGGTAGCGCTCGGGGGCCGTGGACAGTACAGGTGAGCTTCAAGCTTGTGCTGGAAGGTCCCTTCGCGAACGGGTTCTCAAGCTCGAGATACGCAGAACCAGAAGCAGAAGGCGTCATACCCGTCTTCAGGACTTCGTACGAGGATTGTCAGTACAAGAACGAGATCGAGGGAATCTACCGCGGACATACACATCTTGCGCGAGAGGTTGTCCTTCTCCGAGGCAGCCTGCTTCTTCCTGAGGTCGGGGCGATCGTAGACAGGTGGCGTGGTGGTGCCCACAGGCCCGTTGATTCGTCTTCGGTCAGCCATGGCCTTTCAGACACACTGTTCGTTCCGGTAGTGACTCTTTGGGGAGGAAGACGGTTTGTCGAGCTCGTGTTGGGGCTTGCCCGAGGACTGGAAATTCGCAAATGAAAACGGCACGACCTCACAAGCTACCTAGGTACTGCTGCTGAATGCTGCAGCTGCAACCTGCCCCGCCATGTCCGCTAACGCTAAGCTGCCAGCCCGCCGCAGCTCCACCCAGCCCATATCCCGGTAGGTAGAAGCACGGACCCTTCGTCGATAAATTTCCTTTCCCAAAGATTTTTTGACTTCAACTTCTGAATTCTTCTCCCACCAAAACGCGAGGGCTGCGAGCCACGCGTCTTGATGTCGCCAACCACGCTCCAGCCGGCTGTGGTAATTCTGCAACACTCAAGTTTGATTCATTCACCTGTGGAATCACGGTAGGGCCCAGCTATGTCCTGATTATCGAGCTATCTTCCTGGGGAGCACTCTATAGCGGATATCTGTCTGCCCTTGGAACCACTCGCAAGGTAAGCCAAACGCTTCTGCCTCCCACCGGCTCCCAATCCAGCATCCGGACTTCCCACTCCTCCATTGCTACTGATGAACTCATATCCACTGTTCCCGCGATCACCTGAGCGCTTTGAACAAACATGCACTACCATCTGAAGCATCACTCCCAATCTTTGTCCCTGAGGATCCTGATGAGCATTCGCTGACTCTTCAGACAGTACAGATTGATATCATTCATGGGTTCACCAGCTCTTGGACAACGCGCAATGGCGGTAAGGTTAGTCAAAGATCTTGTTTCCTACTTCAACCCTGTGTCTAGGATGAAACATCTTAATCAGTTCTGCTTCTGAAGCTCTGTGAAGATACCCATATACCAAAACGTCTACTCTGATACGACACCATATCTTCCAAACTCAGATCAATCATTAGATGGCAAAGCCCTTGCTAACAATTTTGAAGTCAGTAGTATCGAAAGCAGCGGACCTTCCACATCACGCCTAGTGTATTACAGTAAGTCAGATCACAATGCTTCTTCTTCCCCACGTCTTTCATGATGAAAACTAGTTTATCCATTCAACTATCTCACATCGAGTCGAGCCACCCTCCCGTACCGGAGCTGTTCCTTTCGGGGTCAGTGATGATTGGTTGTGGAGTTGATTCCGGGCATCTCCTTCCTTGCGTTGGGGCTTGTCAGGACGTAATGCTGTCTTCCGCGTCTCCGTTCTTCATGGCTCGTCTTGAGGCATGGAGTTCGGGGGCCGACCCGAGTGAATGAGTAAATCGGTTCGCTGATCCACACCGGCACTGCTTCATCTTGTACTTCGGCTCGACCTCAGCACAGATCGACTGACCTCTGCTGTAGGCTTCTGGAATTTCGCATTGATTTCTCATCTACCGCTTCATGCAAAAGCGCCTCGAGACCTTGATCCGATCCTTGATAAAGCCCATATGCAGGCAGCTGATGGAATGCCCGTTCGTTCAAGGTAGGTTTTCCCGGTAGGGCATGCGGCCGTAGTATGCTCGATACGCCCATAGAATCTTTGCAGTAGTCTCCCTACTCATTAGTTTCCATATCAAATCGAGATTTTTTGGTACATATCCTACAAATTCGTTAGGACTTTTTGTGCATGACTGTGGCACCCGCTTGGTGGTTGGGATAGATCAAAGTGTCCGCCACGACGACGTTCTCCCTTCTGCCGGCAACGAAGACAACGACCTCGGCGATGTCATCAGGTGTCAAGGGTTCGCAACCACTGAACGCATCATTAGCTCTTGAACTCGTCTCTACTGGTACCATATGACTTACGCGTAGACAGCGTCAGCCTTGGCTTTGTCACCGTAGAACCGCACGACCGAAAACTCCTATACTCCAATCAGTCCGTCCGCCCTATAACACAAGCCGCCATGCCATGGCCAGTAAAGGGACACGCACCGTCTCGACCTGTCCCGGGTCGATCTCGAGCACGCGGACGCGCGAGGCGATCAACTCGCGGCGCAGGGCGTCGGTGAAGCTGCGGACGGCGGCCTTGGAGGCGCAGTAGACGCTGCCGCCGGGGTAGGGCTCGCGGCCGGCGACGCTGCCGATGTTGATGATGTCGCCGCGGTCGCGCGCCAGCATCCCCGGCAGCACCGCCTGCGTCATGTGGATCAGGCCCGTCACGTTCGTCTGCAGCATCACGTCGATGTCCTCGCCGGCGATCGAGGGCGCGCGCGCCACGCCGCGGACCAGGCCGCTGTGTTGAGGGGGAGGGTGTCAGCCAGTTTGCTCTGGGTACGTAGACCGTACGTACGGGGGCGTCGTCCGTCCTTCTTCCCTCTCCAGGCCTGCCTGCCTGCCTGCCTGTATGTATATATATCTCCTCCTCCTCCTCCTCCTCCTCCTCCTCCTCCTCCTCCCCCTCTGCCAACTCGAAGCAGCAGCAAAGACGCATATGAACATGCACTCACGCATTATTAACCAGGACGTCGACCTCGCGGAACGCGGGCGGCAGCGCCCCCACGAACCCCTTGACCAAGCGCGGCTGGCCGACGTCGAGGGGCGCGGCGTGCACCTGCACCCCGTCCCCGACCTCGTCGCGGATCTGCGTCGCCAGCGCGCGCAGCGCCTCGGTCCGCCGCGCCGTCACCACCAGCTTCAGCCCGTCGGCCGGCGCCGTCCGCGCGAACTCCAGCGCCGTGCTGCGCCCGATCCCCGACGACGCCCCCGTCACCAGCACGGTTTTTCCCGCCAGCCGGCGGCGCATCGACGACGAGGCCTGCCGCGCTTGGTGGAGGAGGAGGGTCGGAGAGGAGAGCGGCGGGATCGTGCGTCGGAGCTGCAGTGGGCGCAGCGTGCGCTGCAGGAGGGCGGGCGAGGAGGGCGGCATGGTGGACGGGTCGGGTAGGTAGATGTAGCGTGGGGCAACGATCGATCAATCGTAACCAGAACGGCAGCGGAGGACACCCAGAGGATGTATATAGCAGTCAAGGGCAGACGACGGTTCGTGCTACCGGCGTCGTCTATCAAGGTGCGAGAGCCGCGGGCGGCTTGCGATGTGACGTGATGCCAATTGGAGTCGCAGTGTAAGGTTCCACGTCGTAGCTGCTGGAGCTTGCTCAAACCCCCACCATTGATTGATTGCTTGATAACCCCGCCATTCCGTGCCTCTTTGCCTTGCTCGAGGCGGGAAGAGCAAAGGCTCTCTGCAGCCAATGCTTCGCAAATATGCTTTTACCCAAGCATGCGAACACCGGGTGTCCGAGGAGCACAATGAAGATCGCTTTGCTCTAAGAGCCTTCGATCGGGCATGTCTTAGAAGCCGTTCTTGTGCTCAATCCATTCGTGGCTTATGGCCCGTGCCATGCCTCCCGCTTTGGCGTATACTTCTGGTTTTTCCGACGATGTATTCGTGGGGCTTGTACTCGAAGTACCTGCAAAGTGGTTGATCGAAAGGCTTCCCGACGCTCGCGCCAACTTCATTTCGCTAAATTTTTTATCGTCGATGCACCTAATCGAAACGCAACGATATCGGGAGGCTGCGGCGGGAAGAGGCATACGTGCTTGGTATAAGCTTTAGCTAGCGTAATTTGCCCTAGGGAGGATTATAAAAGATTAACGGCAGCTAACAGCCATACCTTGGTTGTTCCGGCGAAGTCTCGTACAGGGGTTGGTAGGTCTATAAACCACCAAAGGATTAGCAAAAGAACGGCCCCTAAGTTAAAAGGTGGGGTACTGCGAGTGGCTCGGAGCTACCACGGCAGACAAATAATATAGTACGTAATAAGCGCTGCGGCTTTCAACACAGGTTCTATAGTGTAGTGGTGAGCACGGTCGGTTTTGAAGATAATTGTATTATTCCTCAACTTCCGACAAACCCCGGTTCGAACCCGGGTAGGACCTTCTTTTTGTATTTTTTTTCTCTCCTCTGATACCAACAATTCTCACCCTCCACCGTCCTTCTGCTGCTCTTGAAGTGCCCTCTTCTAAGTTCTTTGATGATCAAACTCAATAGGTATTTTGGGCACTTGGGAAGTCGCAATGCTCGGTAAACACAAACAGCTCACATGTCTCGCTCGAGTAATACTTCTAATGTGCGATAAACATTTCCCCCTATGCCGTTACGAAGTTGTTCGGAATTCACGCGATTCTCTTCTCCTTCGCAGCCAACACCGAGCGCACCACAGCACGGCCAATGCATGTGGATAAGTCTTCCAAGGAAAGTCAACTGAGGATTAGACTCTTCGAACCCTGAAGGATAGTCTGCCTCCAGGCATACTGGAGTGTGCCACTCTAGTCGCCCAAGCCCACGCTCAACCGACGCCCAACAAAACCCCTAGAGCTATCGGGCATGAACATGAAGATAAGGTCACTGTGATTTAGCAGCACCTAACTAGGTGAGTAGTCAAGGTGGTGTACTTTATCTATATGAATGGAGATCCATGCATGAGTGAGCCAGCCATAGGCTGACTGTACATAGTACATACAGAGCCCCCTACCCATGTGCAGCAAACCCCCTATCCATCCACCGGTACATCCATGCATTCTAGTATTTATTTATATCTCCCCATCTCTCCCTCCGGGGCATGCGACCCAGGCACAAGGTCCCTCCCTCCCCTCTCCCCACCAACCGATCGCTTTCTCTCTCTCACCCTCCCTCCCGCCATCAGATCGTCGGCCAGTCCATCTGGATCTCCTCGAGCTGTCCCCTGCCGCGGAAATCCTCGACGACGGACGCCTGCTCGCAGAGGACGGTGCGGTCGGCCTGGGAGGCGCCGAGGCGCGCGAGGCCGCGCCAGCGCGCGAAGTCGGCCGGGTTGCGCTTGTCGCCGTGGGCGTCGGCGGCGCGCTCCCAGTGGCCGCGGCTGAAGCTGATCATGGTGGTGAGGCGGCGCCGCGCCAGGTCGAACACCAGGCTCACCGACGTCCCCGTCTCCTCCAGCCAGTTGCACTGCCACAGCTCCCCCGGCCGGATGCACTGGTACGTCGCCGCTTGGTAGTTCTTGCGCCCGCCCATGGGCCCGCCGCTGCGAAGGGGGGAAGGAGGCGAGGTGGTTAGTCGTCTCGTTCGGTGCTGCGGTCCTGGCCGAAAGAAGCAGAAGATGATGGGGATGGATGGATGGATGTGCGTGATGGCCACGGCCGCAGGCCGGGGATCGACACCCGTCGTTGTGATGAGGAGGGATGACTTACTGGATCGCGTACACCACCCGGTCCGCGTTGTAGAACCACATCTCGTACCGCCACTTCTCTGGCTTCCCCGACGCCGTTTCTGTCCCGGGGACATCGTAGTCGTATATGAGGTGACGGTTGGCGATGTCTTCATCGAATGAAGCAGTGCTGACGCTGCCGGCGAGAGGCATGTTGATTGTTTTTCAATAGCTGGGGATAATGATTTATGGCCTTGTTCTCAAAACTGAGACGCACCACATGCGATTCCGTTGCCTTTATATAGCGACGCAAGACGGTATCGTGGGGTTCGTTCGCGGGCTTCGCGACGCGAGATCGTGTGACTGGAAGCTGGCTGCGGGTCAATGGTACGATTCTTTAGCTTGCAAAAACCACAAAGGGCGATGATCTTTCCAGAAGGTGTTCTATTGATAGCCCATCGCTGGAGTTTTTTGACGCATCGTCACGAACTTTTGGCGCCTGCGGTGAGACGTGATCTGGAGATAAGGGCGCATTGCCTTCCAGGGGTACGTGGCGCCCGCACATATAACACAGGCCTTCACAAGACCGCACACAGAAAATGCCTCGAAAAGTATCACAGCAAACCGGAACATGTACCCTGGTCCCTGGATTTCCTCGATTTGAACTGCGAATGCGTGGGGGTTGAAGACACAAAAATAGGTCCTGCGAGACGCACCTGTCAATCAGTCTTGCCTTCTGGGGTTGCCAATATGTACTGCTATGGATGGACTATACAGTTAGTGTTCATATATGGTCCCATGGTCTAATAGTCTTGAGAGACTTACGCGTGGCTTCGGGCTGAAGAAGGTGTTGTCAGTGACGAGATAGCACTTTGGCACTCGCGCAAAACCCACAAAGCCGGAAGAGCGAGACTGACCGCTCTATGTGAATACGAACAGTGTTGAGACCCGGACTGGCCAGGCTCTCTCACCCACACATGGCAAGTAGCTTTGGGACTAGGAGTTTCTAGTAGAATCTCCGGGTCATTGCAGTTCCTAGTATCCATAATCGCGCGATTGCCGAGGTTGAGCCCATTCTCCTTAAGCACGCCGACTTTGAATCATTCTATATTGACAGATTCATGAGCACATAATGTAGACATTACGTCTACCCATCGCGCCCAAACTCCTGGGGGTGCTCCCTCAAGCTAAAATACATGAATAAATCATTGGCCTCAGGCCATCGCTGGAGACACGTACTTGTTGGCTGTCACGCTCTCCAAGGCCTCCTAATATCACAATGCCCGTACAACGTGCTGCCGTGTGCTACACGTGGAGGAATCCAGATACCCGAGGCTATGTGCTGCAAGTCCAGTCGTGTTCCACCTAGTACCAAGGTATGGATGAGGCTGCCTCATACCTAGCGCGAGACGTCAAGTTCAATGAGGTCATAGATGTCGAACGGTATATCTAATGCCGCCGAGAAGATATCGGTGTCAATGGAGCCCGTCAGGCCCACCATGACTTAACTGCTTCGATTGCCTCCTTGTATTCGTTGGCAACGCTCTCTTTGGGTGCTAACGGCAGCGGCTTGTCCCAAGCATGCTTCTCTCCTTCCACCACGCGAACGGTGACTTTCTTTCTCTGAGCCTCCATGCGTTCTGCGAATAGGCGTCCTTCGGCTAGCAACATGTCGTGGTCACAGAGACACAGATGTACCGGTGGGAGCTTCGCAATGAGTTCGTCGGGCATAAGGCCAGGAGAGAGTCGGATATCGTCCCGCTCGCGTCTGGGTACCGGGGGATGCATGTATGAAGCGTCAATGAGATCAGTCAAGCCGCTTGGTAACGTCTCGTCTGGTCGTTTCGAGGCTCGTCGTTTTTGGGGACGGTCCACGGTCCAGTCAAGGAGAGGATAGTATAAAATGAGTCCTCCGATCTTGGGGGGCTCAGATGGCAGGTTGTAGTCCCATCGGGCAGGGTCCTGCAACACGATCCAGCTACTTGTTGCAAGCGTTCCGCCAGCCGAGAAGCCCGAGAGTAAGACGCGATCGAGGTCAAGATAGTACTTCTCAGCTCGAGCGCATATCTGTAGAATCGCATCGACGCAGTCTTCTACAGGGGTCGGGAAAGGATAGTTTGGGGCGAGGCGGTAATTGACCGAGAAGACCACGGCGCCGAGGTCCTTAGCAGCCGCGTGAGCCCAGCGAGCGTCGTCGGTCCCCTGGCCGAGAATGAAGCCGCCGCCATGGAAGTTGATGATAGCAGGTCTCTTGGCTTTCGGTTCAGCAACGGAATCCTTTTTCGGGAACCATACGTTGGCGCTGATCTTTTGCTTGCCAGACCACTGAGACAGAGTCGAATCTAGCCAGATGGTTTGGTCCGGGGACACGGCGCCAGGGTGTGACCAGTTGCCCAAGCTGAAGCCCAGACTGGCAGCGCTGCGAAGGAACCAAGCATGCGTAGCCAACCACCACCGAGGGCTCTTGTCGGCCGGATTCACGTAGTCGGCCTCAACAGGCTCCGGTTCGAAGGGAACTTCAGTCAAGTCGGTCTTGTGGTCGATCTTGGACATGGTAACGCGGAGGTCGTAGCGAATGTCTGCGATCTAACAATGGCACGAGCGAATCATCAGAGACAAAGCAACGACGCAAGAGAGACAGCGCTCAATACCTAGGGAATGGGAATGGGGATGGGAATGGGAATGGGAATGGGAATGGGGATGGGGATTGGGGATGGGGATGGGCTAGAGGAAACTGGGATGGCGTGGTTTGAGTTGGTCGGAACTTGGAGGTCCCTGACAACATGTGGTAAGGTGACAGACAACCTGACTTGCCTGATAACCTGATGTGTTTCGATGGGGAGGGGAGCTCCGCGCGTACGAGGCGCGCAGGGACGCCATGCACAATGACGCAACCTTGATCCGTGCAGCTGGGACATTGCCCAATTGGGCATTTTGCTGGGAGAAATCAAGCTTATCTCACCGGGCCATTGCCGATATGGTCAAGCTGAGACCTGCTAAAGTGTGCCCACCTGAACCGTCGGCTGCGAGCCAAGTTCCAACTGCAAGTTGCCGGATAGATCTCGAAGCAAACATGTCACACTTCAACAAAGCCGCTCCAACATGACGAGGCCGATCGTTGCTTGCCATAGAGATAAGATGAACTCGTGGTCATCCAGTCAAGGCTCCAAAGTGTGTTGAAATGCAAGCACACCCCCTCCCGCCGCGCGGATGGGAAGCGGATCGCCCTCACACTCGAAATCGGCAGCCGTTCGTTCTTCGAACCTGAGATCGCACCGCGAAACGAGGGTCAGCCAGAGCGAGGTTGCGAGGTAAGATCTCTGCCCACGCTAGATTGCGGGGCCGTTAGATCTCTCAATTAAAAGGTAATCGACCACTGGGTCTCTGTGGGGAGACGACCTCCCGTCGGCGTGCAAGAGCAGCAAAGCCGTACCGACCGGCGTGCTGGGCGGGACCCATCGCTCTCCGTACGGGAGGTCGCTGACAACAGCGATGCTCAATCATGTCGATGGCTCCAAGCCATGAGATGGGCAACGACAGGAAGAGTATTGTATAGAGACACCAAGGTCGTGTAACTCGAAACTCGCAAACAAACTTCACAAGAGCTTCACATGTACCCAACAAGGAAATGTATTCCGCACTCCACATAGGTGGCCAGAAGGAAGATCCCGTCAGGCTGAGCAAGATTGTTGTTATTGCTTTCTACATTCCCGCCCACTCTATACAGAACGTCCGTACGGGCGGCGCCTTGGT